CGATGAGCGTCGCTCGTCTTCCGTATCAGCTGATGCTGGACTGTTCTTCCCATTAACTCAAAGCTGAACTGCTTCGATAAGATCACAATACCACTCCGGATGTAGACGTGCAAGCACGGCCGATCGATCGTGGGTCGATCCATTCATCCATCCATCCATGTTACCCTCCGAAGACAAGAGGAAAAGGTTTCGAATAAATTTCCATACATTGTCCCTCTCGCGACGACTTCCACTTCCCGCATCCTCTCTCTCAACAGCATCGTGCTCGTGGGCTGATGGTGTCGATTCCTCACGAGAACGTCGCTTCCGCTTTGGGTTGCCTTTGTCCCGCGCATGGATAGATAGGTTGAGATCCGCGAAGCATCTCCATAAATTCAATAAACTCCTCTGGAGATTATCTGACACCCCTTGGTGGGCAAGTCGATCATGAACCGCGCGCAGAATCAATCCTCCCTGATTGTACCAATATCGTATACTTCATACGATATTGGATCGGACGGGGACTGTGAGACCGAATCCCATAATCAGCGGCGTCTGGAACTTGATGCATCCAGCTCGGAGCGTATCGCTCGAACAAACATGAATCCGGTACCCAGCCCACTCAAGCAGGGAGGAGCCTTCCTCATTCCATGAATCGTTGAATTCCAAGAGGATACTTTAAGGCCACTAGGTCCCGATTGTTCACCCTATTGCTTTTACTGTAATGCTATCAGATCCATCATCATATTACAAATACACATTATACGATCACCCATTCATGCTAATGGGGATGATCAGCCTTTCCCTGGCGAATCTCGGCACAGTGACACCCGGGAAAGGTATACATGCTTGGAACGCGACGTCACTTCGCCCTCGAAAACCTCCGCGCTTAGCCTCTGGAAGATGAACTCTCTTGCCTTTCGCCACGTTTCTGATTTGAAGCTCTCCGGCTCGAATCAACGAGCAACGACTCGATGGATTGAAGGCGAGTCCAGAATCCAGAGGCGATCTCTCGGGATACGGACTCCAAGTGAACGACATTTTCCCACTCTCCTCCTCCCGGCGAGCCGATGAAGCCGCGGGAGCTCGGCACGGAGGCTACGGCACTACCGATTCTAATAATAATTTCCTCCCAAGTACCCAGGACAGTATTTCACAACGGTATATATCTACTTGCTCATCGGTGTCGCACCTCGAGAGAATCGTCTGGAGACGGTTTCGCGATGTCCGAGGACCCTCACCAGACGATTCAGGCGCATTGCGTCGCCCCTCAACAGCAGATGGACGGTCCCACCGCATACGTAAATTCTGAGCTCTTTCATGCAAATTGTGCTTACGGTGCACAGGACGGTCTACCGGTCGTCCGTTTCTCCGATCACACGGGGTAACGAAACTCGATTCTCCTGCGATTCAGGAGCTGGCGGACGCGACTCAGCAAGTCCCGGAAGCGAAGAGACGCCAGGGTCAGGCGCATCACCTGTTCCCGTAAATAAGGAGCACGAAAGATATTGATTTGAAATTTAGCACTGTTTTTCGGAGCATCCCATTTTTTCGGAATACCATGAGAACAAGTGCTGGGCAAGGACGATATTTGAAAAGAGGGAAGTCTATCGATTCTCCACCGCACTCGTAGCCAGTGCTCAAATATTGAAGCTGGAAAAGCTCCTCGGCTTTGCAAGGCGCCCAAATTACGGTCGACCCACAGGCATGTAGAGATCAGGAGGGACCGGGATCATGCGATCAGGAAGCCCTTCACCCTTATTGTGTCGGCCGACTTTCCCATTCGCGCTTCACTCCACGTGTTTCTGTTAATGTTCCTTGTTTAATTACTTTCTGGCCTCATGCTCGCACATACGGTTGGCTAGGTCGTTGGACACGGATGGATGGTTCGGCCTCTCATTGAGTGCGGGAAAGTATGTGCTGCTCGCCGCACGACTGAGCCGGGAGACGGCAAGCAGACGGACTTGGGGCGGTAAAACACGCAGACGGAGATAGGCAGGGGGTAAGCGACCGCTGGACGTAAGAGGCGTATATTCGGGTAGTGTTAGAGCGAACGAGTTTGAGGCAAATAGTTGCCGGCCCTAATGAACGGACGGAACAGTTTTTAGTTCCGTACCGGCGTCGTCATTGAGCCGAAATTCCCCGTCCGAACGGAACGATCTCTCGACTGGCTTCCATGGAATCCTCCCATCGGAGAGACCCGGGACGAGAGGGACAGGGGACAAGAACGAGATCGCAGGTGAAGGGCATAAGACTCCCCGCAAAACCTGCCCAGAAGACCAGCACTCCATCTTCCTGCTCCGGAGTGATCAGACCGAAACTTGAGATCCACATGACCGCAGGGAGCTTGTATCAAGGGCCCACGATGAGAGAGTCCTTGCCCGACCAGGTGAGCGAGATCTCGACGAGAAATTTCGAGCTGTCTCTCTTTCTCCCTCTTGGAAAGGAATTGAGTCCGAAGGATTCTCACTTGTCGTCAGTCATGTTCTCATGTTCCGTCTGATACACTGCCCGTCTTGTCTTCGATATGAATACTCATTATCAATGCTGTTTCGGACCGACTAGAATGGTGGAGGCGCGTTTGACGATCTGGTATCAATCTATTCAATTGCGCTACCAGGAGAATCGCTAATCGAATAGAACTCGCTGCCGCGCACCCATATCGCTCTCGCAGACTTCAATCACCGCAGCAAGGCTCGAGGTGACGGTTTGCTTGCACAGATACCTCCGATCGGATAACTCAGTCCATCATCGAGGTATATTAATGAGTGAGTCTATACGCTTACCAACGATCATTCTCGCGCGGAACGGGACCACCCGCGTCCTCTTGGAGCTTGAAGGGAACCAAACAGGGCTAATTGTTCGCGGGTAGCTCGATTTGTGACTGGAGCAGAGGCCGAGGCCTCGATTCCCGGGTATTCGAGCAGAAAACGACATGACTCCCGACCGAATCCAATCTCGTCTGTTCTCTCACGACAAACAGCGCAAACGCACCCTCGAAAACCTGGAGATATCAAATAGACTCAGCTCATTCGACCAGTGGGTCCGAAAGACGGGAAACACTTTTTAGATCCCGGAAACCCAACGATTGTTCGGCGTACGAAAACTCCCGGGTAACAGGAGTTCCCTCAGCATAGAAACGTTCCCGGTTGTTCGATCGTTGGTCTTTCATCTGGAGTAGAAACATACAGCCGACGCGGAGATTTGATATCCTCGAACATTCGGGGAGTATTGCCGGGAAGCTCTTCGTGTCGAGCAAGTAGAAAGAGGTTCCCGTAGCCCGGGTCGATGTAGGCTCGTCGAGTCGCGATGCATTCCGCGATCTGCTCGTCCCTGAACTCAGCAGCGAATTCTCGAACACCTCCCGTGTCAAGAAAGTCCACACCATGTTGAGCAAGTTTCGCGGAAAACTCGCATGAGACCGCGATCATTTTAAAGTAATTTCTGTCCTGGCGCCCAATCATTTTCGAAGGAGGGATTCGGATCTGACCGGTCTTTCCCGCAAGTTAGATGCTCCCGGAGAGGATTCTATCGATGGTCGTGCGGCTAATGCGGGAGAGGTCTAATCGGTGACTTCAATGGGTCTGAGACACAGAAAACGTGCCAGCCGCGGTTGCGCTCCTCCACTGTTGATCCGAGGGGTTCACGCTCGAGCATTCGGGGTCTTGTCTGATTAAAGCTGAGCTGCGGAGCTCAAACACTCGACGAGACCCAGACACCGAACGAAAGAGACGATGAGGACGATGGTTCTGTTTTTCTCATTCGGTAGAGCAATGAGACGGCTCGTCGAAACGAGTGAGGAACAGAAGACACGGCTGCGCGAGAACCGTTTTTCTTCGCGGTCTGCATCTGCCGCAGAAAGCCGACGGTATCGTGACATATGGGGGTTATTGTGTTCGCGGTTTCTGTTCTGCCTCCATCTTCCTTGTTCCATTCAAGTCACTCCTCACATACTACCAACGAGGTAGCTTCATTTTATTCCCTTGTGATTTGACGCTGGTCTAATCAAATGTCATAGGATGGAAACAACTTGGGCTCGAAAAAGATGAATGACGAGGCCCTGAGAGTCGCGAGCTTCCCTTGACCTCTCGTGCATATCCCCGCCCTCCCTTTCTACCCGCATCAACTTCCTTCCGCGATATCTCATCTCCCAAACGTTCATGTACGGCGCGAAGTGATTTCTGCCTAATGAGATAAAGTCCGGTCAATCGGAATGATGATGTGCAATAAAGCTCCCGATCACGGTCCGATATCTTGTTTGGCATTCAAACATTCATTATTCTATGTAGATGTAGAGTGAATGAGGTCTAGTCGCGAGTCATGACCACCCTCGTCGATATCGACCTTGAGAGTATAAGCCAAGTCGGCCAAACATCTTTTACTGCCTTGTGATTCCCATGGCCGCTGCTTGCCAGACATGAAGCGAAAACGGCGAGGAAGCGCGATGATGTTTGCCAGGTACGCGAGCGATCCCAAGTCCGGGAGAAATAGGTAATGCGATCGCGGATCGGGACGAAGAGGATTGAGCTATTCAGTGGAGTGGAGTAAATATCTGCCGTCGAAGAACCACGGGACGGGGAGGCTTGTGAGAGTTTACGGAGCTAGCTCCTGTGAGAGAGGCCTGAGTCGTTCTTCTCCTCTCGATTATTGTCCTGAGTTTCGCGACGAGCAATGTGGACATACATATGTTGCTGAGCCTCTCCCGGACCGCGGCGGAACGAGGTTTTTGTCCTTTAACAGGCAGAGGCGGTTGTTAATGGAAATTCGTTTTCTCTCAGATTCGTCGATGGCGTCTGACCACGAAGTTCCTCGATTCCAGGCGAGTTACCTGCTCCTTGCCACGGCCGGAATCGCTTCTCGGTCAAAACCCTTAAGACCCTTAGACTAAACTTGGCCCTCAGATATTGACGAACCGGCCCTCGGTACTTTCGAATTAATTCTAGGACTTCTTACTGATCTTGGGAAGCTGACCGGGACCTATCCGATATCCATCAGGTTGAAGGGATATCATTCGAAGAATCATGTCTCGGAACGACAACAAGGTTTGCGATGGCTGTAAAGACAGCTACCACAGACTCATGGCACAAAATGTGCCGTGTATACCATGTGCTATAGCAGCAACACAAATAGATAAGGTGAATATGGCCCAGAGCCAGGTTACCTCGCTAAGCGAGGAACTCGCCAAATCAAAAGAGAGGGTAGAAACCCTCTACAAACAAAACATTGACCTGGTACAGGTCAACGTAGAAAGCTCGCAAAGATCAGAGAGAGCTCTGAAAGAAGCGCAGGGAAAAATCCTTGCGCTGAACAAACGAGTTGTAGAGCTCATGAAGGAGCTAGAAAAACAAAAAAATCCGGAAAGTGCGGGCGAAGCCCAGTCACAGATGGATACGAATGAAAAAGAAGAGGCTCCGAAGGACCTCACATTGATTATCGGGGACGGGATACTCGTTCAAATCATGAAGGAAAACCTTCCATGGTTCAAACCCCTGTTCAAGAAGGGCTTGCTTGTAAGACAAGCCAAATCGAATAACAAATCTCTCCCGTACTTCCTTGAGTCAGTGAGAAAACTCACAAAAGACGCGGTCGAAGGCCGCGTCATAAACATCTTGTGCTTCCTAGGCACTTCCGATCTCCTAGGCAAAGACTATGAGATTGGCCAGGAAGGCGAGTACGCGGAGAGACTAATAGAATGT